TTTTTCCTTGTAAACAATAGGACGAGGATCAAGTAACAGTTCAGAAACTGTAAAGTAATTATGCAATAATAATGTATGTGTCTATTTTTTAATTTTCACCCAATTGAAAATATAATAATCGATTATGTAAAAAAAACCACCAAGGGACAATACCAGAGTCTAATTACCTTTGAAAGAAAAACATTAAGAAAAATGTATGTCTTTCAATATAACAGAGAAACGKAACATTTTGAAAGGAGACATAATAATGAATTACAAGAAATATATGGAAGACCAAATGTTCTTTCAAATACGAGAAGCAAAAGGCTTGAATGGTTAGGACATTTATGGAGGACGGATGGCCGAATTATTAAACAAGCACTGGTGGTTGAAATGAGAGRTAAAAGACCTCTGGCAGGCCCAGAACGAAATGGAGGGACTCAGTCATGAAGGATCTAAGAATAATTCAAGAAAGGGTTCAGATAAACATGGCATACAAAAGAAAAGAATAGAATATGTTTGTGATGGCAGTGTTGGAACTCAAAGGTTCCTTAAGCTATTTATGATGATTATGTAAAGGAAAAAAGAGTTTAATAATAAATAATATTTACTGTTTTATTTAAATCTATTAAAAATTGATTTAATATTAATATATTTTACTCATAATAACATGACTTCTGAGACTTAAACTTAAACGATTAAATTTAGTTTTTTTACTTTCCCTTTGAACGACTGCGTGTATATTTCTATTTATTTTTTTWAATAATATTTGTGTGATGTAATATCATTTTAATGTTGCGTTTACAGATGGATGGCTTTGTCGCAATTCAAGTCCACGTTTGCYAGGAGAGCGTTCCCTTGTTACGACGAACCTGAGTATAAAACTCCGTTCAATATATCACTGGGCCGACAAGAATATCAGATGACGTTATCCAATATGCCTCTATACAACACGCAGAGACTGTGAGTCATCAAGTTTACTCAGAAATATACTATAACTGCCATCCTCTTAACAAAACGATTCAAAGAAATTTGATTTCTCATTTTTTCGTTTTAATGTTATTCACTTGTTTACTCATTTTGTAGGTACTTATAAAATTTGAATCTATATGATTACACATGTATTAACTACGATCATAAATAATAATTCCCTGCTTAACATTGTTACCATTTACAAAATATTGATCAACTTTATTTGTTTGAYGGCATTTTATATTGGATGTTTGATCGCGTTAGGTCACACACTCACACGTAGAGTATTTAAAATTGGCATAAGAAGTAATCATTCGGATAACAAAAGTATTAAATATTCATAGCATAACGTCAACCGTTATAATGTGTATACATTAAAATAACACTGGTTTTCTTTTTGATTAGCTCGAAAAAATTTAAATTAAGTTTATATTAAATTAAGTTTATACATAGAGAGAGAAAAATTTCTGCTGAAAATTATAACTATGGGGCGTTAACGATCTATATAWTTTAATTCTCTTAGCGAATATTATGGCTGGTGGGCAGATCATTATGAAACGTCACCACCGATACCAACGTATTTAGTTGGAGTATTTGTCGGTAATTTGAAAAAATCAGATGCAATAGAAGGGAGTGAGGTCGATGTTTACACATATAATGATTACTTGAATCAAGTGCTGTATGTTACGGAAGAAACGCCAAAGTTGTTCGAAACCATGTCGAACTACACAGCTAGTTCAAACGAATTGAAAAAAATGGATTTCATGTCGATACCTGATTTTGACGGYGATGGAATGGAAAACTGGGGAATAAATATTTATCGGTATGTAAACCAGTTATCAAAATTTGGTTTTATATTATAGATTTATTGGTTTTTGTGCWTGTGTGTGTATTTTCATCATTGGCCGCACAGAGAAAGGTACATGTTGTTTGACGACGATGCAAAAATGAAATTCAAAGAGCAGTCACAAATGTTGATCCAAAACCTTAACGCCCATCAGTGGTTTGGAAATATGGTGACCAGTGCGTGGTGGAATTATCTATGGTTGAACGATGGATTCGCACGGTATTTTCAATATTTCGCATTGGAAATGGTGAGTTAAGCGTTAATGGTTCTCAAAACTGTTTGYGTTCGTGGTCTTAATTTATTGGATCGTATTTTAGGTGAATCAGGATTGGCGGTTGGAAGAACTATTCGTCATAGAGCAACACCAGATTGCCATGGATTTTGACCAGACTCCGAAACACCCGATGACTACTTCTGTAGAAACTTCTGATGACATCCAAAACATATTTAAAGAAGTGGTTTGCAACAAAGCTGCGGCAGTTTTAAGAATGTTAAGAAGCATAGTAACTGAGAGCAATTTTCAAGAACCCTTAAAGTTGTATTTGAATAACTTTAAGTACGTCATATTTTATGACTAGTTCAGTGATTAAGCTATTTWACACATTTGTATTACAATTCCTCAAATTGTTTCATTTAGATACGGTGCAGTAACACCAAGTGATTTGTGGGCGGTTTTTGAAAACTATTACTTTGATACTGGATATAAGTTATCAGACAATGTGCCGTTCACCAATTTTATACAATCTTGGACCGATCAGTCAGGTTATCCAGTGGTAAACGTCACTAGAAATAAAAATACGTACATAATTACTCAGGTAAATATTAGACTCAATCAAGCACACTATGGGATATTATTATAATATATCAAAAATAATTGATATATAATTTTAATTTTTTTTAGACACATTTTTCGGTTTGGCCTTCCAACGATGATACTACCCGCTGGTATATTGGTCTTACCTACACTAATGATTTGGCGAGAAATTTTGACGACGTAAGACCAGTTAGATGGCTAAAACCTTACACGTCAGTATTGTACTTGCATGATTCAAGTCTTTGTACATGGGTGATTTTCAATTTGCAAAGCACTGGTATTTTTTTCTTAAAATATTTATTTGAGTTTTTATTCATGGAATTTTTTTATCGGCAGGATTCTATAGGGTGAACTACGACCTCAATAATTGGCAGCAACTTATAAAACAGTTGAATGAATCAAAATATACAGATATACATGTTCTGAATCGAGCACAGCTGATCGATGACTCGTTCAATCTTGCAAGAGCAGGAATGTTGAATTATTCGTTAGCTCTGAACCTGTCGACCTATCTCATGAAAGAAGACGATAACATACCGTGGTACACAGCTATCAACTGTTTGTCATAYGTGGTCGAAAGAATGCGTCGTAGTTCTGAGGGTTACGATTACATAAAGGTATTTAATGACATTAATATGATTTCCTTTCTTATGTGCGTATTATTAAATCTTTGTAGGTGTCTCATCATAAACAGGCATTACCAATGTAATTTTGTTTTTTTATTTAAAGAGATTTTGACATACCTACTCTAACGATAAAAATATGAAACATATTTTRTTAATAAAAATCATCATAAATTATTATTTTTACCAATTAAATTAAATATATTATATTGTTATATAGCGCTATTTGAAAATAATGACGTATTTAATTTTCAATAATATACTCGTATTATGTTTAATCAAAATAATACATGTCGTATTGCACTGGGCTCCAGCGTGATCAAAGTTCGGATTTTGTAGGTATTTTTTATTTTTATTTTTCGAATACAAAGCTAATATATATAACATATCTGCAATAAATTAGTAGTTCATGGGAATACAAGGAATAAAATACAAGGTATTTTATTTAGCTCTGTATTGTTCTTAAACATTTTTGTTTCACAAAATTTGTTTTATATCAACGTAGATTTAAAATATTCAAAAGGTATATAGAATAATATTAATGTGTATATTATATTAGGTATGCTAAGATGGCTCAGTCGATTTTAACTCTTAATATTTTGTAGTTTATTTCTTTTAATATTTTTGCATGTTATATGTATTCTGTGTCTTATGTTATCTTATTGTTATTGATTAACACTGTGACCGATAATAGACATACAGTATGGTATATTAACACCAAAAAATTAAAAACAAATTATACGTTTTAAAATTGTATTTTAGGTTTTTAAAAATAATTTGTAGTGCTTGTTTTAAAATTATTCTTTTTTTTATGTGAAAATGTTTAAAACTTTTTGTTATGTATTAAGTGTTAGGATGTATAATCCTAACTGATTAAAACCAATAAAATCAAACAACCACAACATTTCATTCTTACACAGTAATAAAGTGCTAATCCACACTGTTATTAATATACTATCTTATTWATTAGTATTACCAACATTGGTAATCTATGAGTAATATGTTACCAAACGTATGTTTGCAATTTATAGTCTTACGTTCAGAAATTGGCAGAATGTATTTACAAAAAAACTGAACTTTTAGTAGTCCAATATTACACTGACGACCACACGACCATAACGAGCTGGAATAAATTTTCTGTATGGGCTTGTTACTTGGACGGTGAATATTGCACGAAAAACGCAATAATAAATTTCAATAAATGGACGAATAGAGAAAGGTAACATTCAAAGCCTGACCAATAACGTATGAAAATATTATGGTTGATAGTTTATAGCATTATTTTTATGTTACTTCTCATTTTTGTTTATCAGGATATCACCCGACATTAAAGATGCTACCTTGTGTACAGGAATTAAAGTTAGTAACAACACTGATACGTGGCAATATATGCTCAAAGTATACACGACCACTAAATCAGCTTCTGAAAAAAACTCAGCTCAAGCAGCATTGACTTGTTCACAAGACACAACAATATTATATCGGTAAGTATGTGAACTAAATTTTTATTTGACGATGCTTAAGAAAATATATTTACTCATCGTAAAAAACTAACGTTTTCAAATATGCGCAACATTATTTCACATGTAAACATAATATTTTAAAAATACGGTTTTTAAATATTTTGTTGAAATTATATTATTTATTAAAAATTACTTTCAAGAAGTAATCAGAATAGACACTTTTGTTTGAAATATATTTTTAAAACCAATTTTATAAGTATTAATATTTTTTTAGTTTTTTTATTATCTTCGTTATGTATACGGTWTACCTACCAATTTAGTTTATTCTAAACAAAAGCAATAATTTAATTTATTATTTATTTTATTTTAGATTTTTGGAATTTTTATTTGACTATGATAATGATGGTCCAGTACGTTTACAAGATTTCAAGGACATATGTGATGCGATGTCTTTGACACCTCAAGGGATCGAAGCATTAACGAACTTCTTAATGAACAACCTAGAACGTATGCTAAGGCAAATACCTAMCGGAGAGAGTATTGTTACTTACATGTATAGGATTTTAGCTTCAAAAGTAGCTCTTGATGAAGAAATAGCTAAGGTGAGGGACAAAATTAATAGTTAATCCTGAATAATTATCAACAAATATTAAATTGTATAAATATGTTTATTTTGAGWAGGCAAATGATTCAGAATTAATATAAATTCTCTTACAATTTYGGATACTATTCGTATGTATTGTTGTTAAACGTCAGCATGTCAAAAATGTGATTTGAAATTAATTTCTACAATGGAAAATGTCATAATCGTATATACGTTAAGGTCTTAGGGAAGTCCAGATTTTAATGCTAATCATTATTTTAATCATTATACTTTTTCTTTAACTATGCCTAAGAAAACCATTTTTAAACACATATAATATTATTTTAATACCTAGTTGACACATCATATTACAATTTATTATGATAAATATTTTATTAAATAAATGGAATATTCAAATCGAACAATCATTATTAATATTATATTATTATATTGTAATAATTATRTTATTGATCATGTATTTTAGAAATTTTGGTATATAAATCGATATAGGTTTTTTAACACATGTAATATTATAACAACAATTTAATTAATTATAAAAAGTAAACATAAAAATACATGTAAAAAACTAATAGGTAGTTTATAAAATATTGTGTAAAAACTTTAATTATACTATACCAAATTACAAAATAATAATAATACTATTTCTTACTAAGGGTTATTATGGCCTTAATATAGCCTTATGAATATGATACTTGTTATAAGGGTTAAAAGTTGGCCAAATCATAACCAAGGCACCCCCTATGAAAAACGTTCGTATATCGGGAAGGTCAAAAGCACAAACGTCGAGAATTTCGGCACAAATCAGCACAAACGATGCACAAATTAATGACACCATTAAAATTTTTAAATATGAAAATAGGGGTGCAACCATTTTCCTAGCACCCCCTATAAAAAACTTTGTATCTAGGTAAGTTCAAAAGCACAAACGTCGGGAATTTCGGCACAAATCAGCATAAACGATGCACAAAAAAAGGCTCTTGGTTTCATTTAAAAATTCCAATGTGGGGGTGCAATCATTTCCCCAGCACCCCCTATAAAAAACGTTCGTATCTCAGTAAGTTCAAAAGCATAAATGTTGAGATTTTCAGCACAAATCAGCACAAATGAAGCACAAAAAAAGGCTCTTAGTTTTGTTACAAAATTCCAAAGTGGGGGTGCCAAGAAATGGACCTCCAGATTGACATATGTCTGTAAAAGCTATACAATAATAATAATAATAATAATAATAATAATAATAATACGAGTATGAAAGTTAATAGTTTAATACTATTATTTATTTAATAAACGTATTTTTCAGTTGATAAAGTTGAAGAATGCACCTGGATTGCCACCAAAAATTAAAGCTTCATTCGACGAATCGTATGTGCAAGTAGAACAAAATCTCTTGTGGTATAAATATTACCACACCACAATTAACCAATGGACAGGGGCACCGATAGAACTTATTACTACTGAATCGGATACGACTGTCACATCGGATACAACTGTGACGTCGGACACGACTGTGACGTCGGACACGACTGTGACGTCGGACACGACTGTGACGTCGAACACGACTGTGTCGTCGAACACGACCGAGAAGTCACCGGAAACAACTATGTCGTCAATTGGTACAACTGGGCCTATGCAACCAATGTCGACATATCCACAATTCGATTTCGACAACCCAACACTAGGTCCAGTTATAATATCCAAGTGTCCCAATAAATCTGGTCAGTCGTCATGTCGTAGTAGTTTGTTTTTCGTCATCATCGTTGTTACCTTGGTGACAACTAGGATCTTATTGTATGTATAGTAAGAAAATAATGGCATCCACTGATATTCTTGGATAATAAATTTAAATATATATTTATATATCACATTTGTATCCATGAATTTATTATAAGTATTGTCATTAAATTATTATTGAATTTTTATTGTTCTTAAGACTGTGCTTTTGTTTCAAATGTGTTATAATAAAAGATTGTACCTAATATGTTCTATATCCAATTGTTCAAATTGTTCAAAATAACATTACTTTATCATGCTTATATATGCATTGTGAATAACTGTTAAGTTAACTTATAAATATTAAATTCTGAAACCAGTTATACCCCAATACAAAATATGTGCTTAATTATAATTGTTAATTATTTATGTTAATTTCAACCTGTGTTTTTTAAAATTAAAATTATAATTACAATTATATATTAGCTTTAATCGTATTTAATAAACAAATAATTTATTTTACTATAGATAATCTTATAATCTTGGTAATTCCTTATAGTCAGTAATCAAACTTCATAATTCCATTAATACTTTCAACTTTATATGATTTTGTTGGTTAAGTAATTTATTACTCATTTATATGAGCAAATCAAGTGGTGTTATTATTATATGGAGATTTAGAATAAGATAACAATGATAGTACATTTTATGGATTATTCGTCATACGCATAAGTACAACGATAATATTGTATTTATTGAAAACAATTTTATATCACTGGTTTTTGCTTTGAAAATATGACACTGATTGATTGTATTCAAACGATTTTTTAATCATCCGTAATACCTTCTGATTTACGAATAAATAGTGTACACTGTATAGCTGCTACCTACACAGAAAGAAAAATTATAGGTACCTATTAATATTTAATTATGCGGTTTTTAAAAACACATTCAAAATAAATATAAGATTAGATAATAAAAAAATGTAAATCAATACATTCATTAGAATATTAAAGATACTTAAATGGTTTCCATTAAAAAAAAAAAGTGAAACATTTTAATCAAATGCTTACCAACTGATAAACTAGATGCATACGCTAAAAAACTAATGAGCAATTCCGTCAAAATATTTTATTAAATAATCACAGATTCGCTTATTAGGTATCTCACTCTTGTATAYTTAGATTTATTTTAGATATAGTTTAATTTTTATAACCATGTGATGCATATTATTATTTGATTATTGTATTAATTAAAAGTAGGTAAGGCTAAGTTGAAAATAAAATTATATCCAACTTAATTAGATAAACAAGTATAAAATCATAATGGAAAATAGGTAAGTTGTTATTATATGATGAATAATATTAATCAAAAGTAATGGATATACAACAATTGAAATATCAGTTAGGTACTTAGTAAAAAATAAATAAATTTGATGTGAAAATGATAAAAAAATTACTTTAAATAAAATTTACCTTTAAAATAAATGTTTATGGAATATTTTAACAATGACATTATAATATCGTTTGATATAAAATTATCTGTTGTCACTTATCACTATGTATAGTGTATACTATTAAAAGGACGAGACCAGATTTCCGTTTGTTATTATCATAGGGTGCTGTCTGCTGTCCGTATTTATATAAGTGTGAATTTACCTATTATCAAAATTGCAGGTAAGAACATTATCTATGTTCTTTTGTTCTGTTTTTACAATATTTTAATTTTTAGTTGAATAATGACTATGTAAAATWTTACACATGTGGGGCCGGGGCAACGTCGTCTTAGCAATTTGCAATACGTCGAAAAAYATTTTTAGAATAATTAAATTGTTATGTATTTGCGAAAATGCATTAAACTGTTGCAATACTAAAATTGTAAGTTAAAATAAACTTTTAATTAGAAATCATAATATAATATTATGAAACAAATACAAATTATAGGTGTATTATTGAACGATGATATAGTCCAAAAAAGTCATAGGTACCTATTCAARACTTGTTTTAAAAATCCATATATAAGATTCAATACCTGCGATAGAATTATAAAAATAATATAATAATTTATCAGTGGTTAGTGGTATTTACTAATTACCATTAATATTGTATGCGTATATGATACGTACATGTTCTACCGGCAAGTACGACACATTTTGAAGGTCATCAAAGGAATTGATGATATTTATGTTTTTTTTTGTTTTAGTTAGACTGAGTACTAGCATAATAAAACACCGTTTAAAATATAATAATTTTTCTTCTTAAAATTAAAAACTTTATAAATGTTAATATTTCATGGTACCTATACATGGTGCTAAAGGTCAGGTTATCGTATAGCACTTTTAAAATTGTGTGTGATTTGCAAATCATCATTACAGGTGAGGCATAATATGTTATGATTTGTTATTCAGAAAATGATGTTTTTTGGATACCTATCTATTTCTAAGAAACACAAATAATTTGGCAACGCAAACAATTTAATGGGTGTATTTAAATATGATCGTAGAAGAAAAGATAATATTGCATTGATTTAGAATTTTTTTTTTTACGTTAGTACTTAGTACTATTATCAGCATTTAACGACTGGTCGCACAATAAAGTATAACATTTAACAAGTAACAACCAYTGAACTATGAGAACTGATCGAGCTCTATGATACATTAATAATATTATTATATATCATAATAAGTAACATACTAGGTAATATATTTAACTCTAATATCTATAACAGTAAATTGACTTATTATTATTAGTATTATGTATAAAAAGATAAAGAAGTTATCAGTGGTTTTTAATAATATTGGTTATTTTCAATGTGTTTGCTTAAGAACGAGTATATATTAGTACATATTATTATTTTAATATTCAATCAAAYAATTTAAACATGATTGTGTAAAATGTGTAAAAGTAACTATAATATAATAGGTATATAATACCTATTGTGRTTGATTTTGATCCTAATAATATAGYATTTTATCAAAACTACCTACACTTAATGCGTTATACGACATTATTCGGTCAGATAGATAGATAGTGAAACGGAGAGAGGGATAGAATGAACAAATCACGATTTACCTCTATTTGTGGCGTAATAACTATATCCTGTTTGAAATAATAATTATTGGAAATTGATTGTCTCTTGTGTACATTTGTGAATCATTAATTACGTATTTCAAATTCTCAACGTAAACAAMAAAATAATATTATAATATACAGGGTATCTTTTGAGTATATTCATCAAATTATCAGTTTAATATTTATCCAGTATACGAGATTTAATTCAAAAGATAAGCTCTGCGTATCASTCGATTGGGCATTTCTGATGGATGAATGTAAAATAWTAAATGCGAAAATAAATTTTKATTTTTGATTTAAAAAAGTCAATCAGTTATTATTTYAAGTTGTGTGAATGGTGAACAATTTCATAAATTTAAATGAGCTTAATTATTAATAGTATTATATTAGTTAGAAAGTAAATTACATAATATTTATGTAATACGTATCAATAAGTGAATGACAAAATTAAACTAAGATAAATATAAGTATCCATAATTACTGGTTAACTTCTTTTCACTACAACAAAAAACCGGTAGCGTCTAAACATCTTTTATTATTTTTTTCGATGCAACGAACGCTACTACGTACAACATCAATATAATAGTTGTTATAACATTGTTACCTGTTCTTAACTATTCATTCTCGTTGAATATCAACTTGTTTTATGCTACTTGAACAATTATTCGATTCGATGTGATTTAGAAATGAGATTTCTRAAACTTTAAAATGCAATACAATAATTTTGGCTTCCCAATAAGTATTGCGTTTGTTGTCTGTTTAATGTCTATATTGAGTATTAAAATATAATCATCGTTATGATTTATTTCGATACAACATCGTTCCGCTTGAGCATAAAATTATATTCACCTACACTGTTTACTATCAACTTATGTGTTTGGGCGTACTATTATACACACCCAATAGAGTTCCATTCATTATCCACAATCAGAGTGATACATAAGATTTGTTTAATGTATCATGCTACTCAAGTAATCTTCTAACATAACTGAAATACCTATCTGTTGAACGTAAGTTATGTAACTACTATATTAATGGTATTTGAAAATTCAAAAATTGAATATTTTTAGGAATCTAAATCACACACTTACCTAAATAATGTTGGAGTGGATTAATAGATAAGTACTCAGTAAAGTATATATATACGGGTTACGTGAATCGTTGAATGTTTTTTCATCACAGTTATTAAAATTATAGTTAACTATACGATTTAACGTGATTTGATGATACTCAATTTCAAGGATATCTCAGTTTTATTTGTTTGTGCGATACCCGAAGTTAGTCTGAATATTCTCAAGRCACAGTATATTACGAATCATCAACGCAATGATATTAAAACACGTAGTGGTGTTGTTGTTTTTTACCCAGTTTGCGAGTGTTTTTGGTTATAATGGACGCTCGTCTTACAACAGTCAAAACGAAATGGACGTTTATCGACTGCCGAAAAATACTACCCCGGACTCATACGATTTGAAAATTATACCAGACTACAATTACTTAACGGATGTCGTTGAATTCGACGGGGAGGTAGAAATTGTGATCAACGTAGAATCCAAAACTTCAACGATTACGTTGAATTGTAAAAATATTGTGGTTTATGTGGTGTATGTGCACGAAAAAATAACACTAGATGATCTTGACGTAATTAAAGTCATTTATGATACCCAAAACGAACAATGCAACATTTTGTTGAGTTCCAAATTAAATGTTGGAATTCAATACCTGGTAAACATCGAATATCATGTGAAAATCGATACAAACGATATGGAAGGATTCTACAAAAGTAAATACAATAAGGACAGCTATACAGAGTAAGTGTGATTATTTAATGATATTCATAATTTCACTRACGACAGAWATAGATGTTTAAGTTTTATTAAATAGATAGGTATGTAATGTAGCTATTGGGCTTATGTAAAAATCAAGATAATAATTATCGGGACCCTAACTATTTAGGACAAAGTTTATCAAGGAATGACTTTGATGAATGAATTAGTTGTGGTAAGTATCCTTCAAATTAATATTTAAATTGGGATACAATTTCTCGRGAATATTGGCAAGAATCCGTACTTTTCAGGATAGATTTTCTCTGAAAAGTTTGATAAGCACTTGGTATACTTGTGGTTACCCTGTGACTAACTTGCGGTGGTGTTGAATAGTAAGTCGAGGGATCTTTTCGTTCTTTTTTGTCCGAGCGCAGCGCAGAGAGCGAGTGGCCACACAGTCATCACTATACCCTTTTTCCACAATTTCTTCACGTTGATATCACTGGCGTTCTTTAAAATACTGTTCGGATTCGTATGGTTCWATGCAATATAATTTTATTATATATCAATCCTTTAAAAACTATTTTCGAGAATATAATCTTCTGATAAAAATACTCCTATTTATTAAAAGTTTTTTTTAATAGCGTTCTTGAAAATATCGTTCTGATATTAATTTTCCCGGTTTTTACAGCCCTCCTACATATCTTGATTKTACAGAGTAATAATTATATTGCAGAAAAATCGATTTTTCTTGGCTCAATCCAACCCGAAAGTTAGATCGAATTCGCTTTGTACGAGTATATATTATTATTAGTGTGTGGTTTGTCAAGTCATGACAAGCAACCCCATCGTTTACGTACCTACGTGTTATAATAGTTTTGTTTTCAAAAAAGTATTTGTTCATAGATGGTTACTTTTGACGTATATCGAACCGACCGGAGCCAGAAGAATATTTCCATGTTACGACGAACCGGCGTACAAAACCCACTTCAATATAACGTTGACTAGGCCAAATAACAAAACGTCACGATCCAATATGCCGATTTATAAGAGTTATTATGAGTGAGTATAATACCATTGTTTGAATAATGATAAATTGTGATTAGATGATCTATGTTCATCTCAAAATCCGTTGATCAATCAGCCGCAAATCAATTGAGTCTCAACAGTATAGATATACACTAAAACTGCATTTGAAGATTTGAAATTGATTTTTATACCAATCGCATCCGATGTAAAATATTATTTTTCGTCACGCCTAATATTTAATGTTGATTCCGGTTCAGAAGTGCCGTTTCGAGGGGGGGGGGTGCAGAGTATATACTTTGGCTCCCCTATTTTTGTCTGTGTATTGTTGGTCTGGACTACAATCTACAGTGCGCTGACAGGGTTCAACAGTTAGTTATAAGCACTATTCGAGTGGCATCAAATGCAATATTTTTTCTTCACTCAAAAGAGTAAATTTACTTAAATTAAAAAAAACTAATTATGTATACTGTATGGAATATTGTATTATTATTTATTATAATATGTTAATAAATAGGAATAATATATTTATTTTATTTGAAATAAATTGCATTGGTTGAATGTTGCTACATATATTAAATATTATCAGGTCTAAATCAAAAGACAAACAAATTATTAATAGAATATAATTTGAATCAATTTAAATTTATTCTTATAGAGTTTAACCCCATACAATTGACTTCTACACAAACAATATCTGTATTTAGATATTATTTTGAAGAAAAATTGGCCTGACGAAAAAAAAATTGGCCTGCTTAAATTTTGGCATCCCTATAAAACACTGAAATGACGCTATACTGTTCCGTTTAAAGAATTAAAAAGTGACCTCTTTTCGTCTAGAGGACGTAAGTGTTTTTCTATGGATAAGTGAAGATTTTGCTACGTAGAAGTAACGAAAATTTCATGTCCAAATCAGATGAATATTTGTGAATGTATATTATAATTTATAATATATATGTAAAAACAAGGTTTAAAAAGCTATCGATTTTTTAAGTTCATTAAGTTAAGCTAAAAGTTGAATAATAATTTTTTCATAACTTTGTTTAGTTAAAAATGAATGGATAAAATAAATTAACTAAATTAAAAACAACTTAACTAAGAATTAAAATATGTTCAATTTAGAAATCGTTTTAA